TGCAGGTCCCCTACCTTCTTGATGGAGGCCAATGCTAGCAGGAGCAAAGTCCTTTTTCATTGAAAGGAACTTCAGCTCAACCGCCTGCAAAAAGGCTCAAATGTGCCCTGCTGTAGTGCCGTGAGCACCAGAGTCAGGTCCCAAGAGGGTATAGAGGGGGGCCGTGGAGGATTTAACCTTCTCGCCTCCTTAAGGAACCTGACGACCAGGTTATGCTTCCCCAACGACCTCCTTCAACGGGGTCGTGGTTAGCCGATTGCAGCGACATAAACCCTTGCAGCAAAAAGGACAGCACAACTCCGATCGGGCATCTTCGGGGGTCTTCTCGGTGAGAAGAACACCACTCAACAAACAGGATCCACTTCAAGCGTAGGCGTGTCACGTAGACGGTGCTCTCGCTGAAGTGATGGTGTCAACTACCTCTTGGGGTAGGCCACTCAGAACCTCCGTGTCCCGTCCAGGGACCGAACATAAACTTTCCAGAGGTCTGGACGCGGGTGCCAAAGGGTTCCCCGTCTCTGAGTCAGTAAATCCTTCCTCAGAGGAATCGGCCAAGAAGGGGCTGTCGCGAGGAGCATTAGTTCCGGGAACCAGGTCCGGGAAGGCCAATAAGGTGCCACCAGCAGGACCTGCTCCTCGTCCTCCCTGACCTTGCACAGCAACTGTGCCAGAAGGCTCACTGGGGGAAATGCATACTTGCGAAGGCCCCGCGGCCAGCTGTGTGCCAGTGCGTCCGTGCCGAGTGTTCCCTCGGTCAGGGCGAAGAACAACTGGCAGTGAGAGGTTTCTGGAGAGGCAAACAGGTCTACCTGAGCGGCTCCGAAACGTTCCCAAACCAGCTGGACCAGCTGGGGATGGAGTTGCCATTCTCCCGGGAGAGCAGCTCAGGACAGCTCATCGACTGCCCGGTTGAGCCCAGGAATGTGAACAGCACGAAGCGACCTCAGATGCTTCTGACTCCAGAGGAGGAGGTGGCAGGCGAGTTGCCGCCGTAGTTGCCATATGCCCCAGGAGCCTCTGAACTGTGTCAGTGGGACCGCCCTCCTGCTCTTACCGAGTCACCTCCATACCGGGAAAAGAGATCCTCTGCATCTGGGAGATTTTGCTCTTTTCCCAGTTGACCCGAAGGCCCAACAGGCTGAGGTGTGAGAGCACCAAATCCCTGTGTTCGCACAACTGATCCTGAGACTGCTTCCTACAGACCCGGGAGGGGAGGCACGGTTCTCCCTGCCGGTTGGAGACGGTATTTAGGACACAACTGCATCGCAACCGACCGCTCCACCGGGGGGACCCTTGTAACCCCCTAGCTGCCCCACCATCGAGGGTGGTGAGGGAGGAGGATCCAGCAAATCAGTTTCCGGCAGTAAAAAGGTGCCGTCCACGACATGTTAAGCTCCTCATGCACCTCCGGTGAACGGTGAAAGTCTTCACTCGAGCCCTACCCCTACGGCGGCCCTGGAAAGCATAGCCATTATTTCTGGATCCGATTCAGGCATTGCTACGGTCCCGGAGGAGAGCAGCGCAGCCGAATCTTCCTCTCCAGAAAGCTCTGGCTCACCCTCCGATGCTGCAACCGACATCTGATCGTCGGGGGGAGCCTCGAAGAAACAGGTGGTACCCCCGGGGAGGGTCCAGCCTGCTCTTTTTGAGAGCTCCGCTGGTTTCGAAGTGCCGGCGGGCTTGGGCATCCCTGGAGGAGAATTTCTCACCGTGACCGTAAGACCAGTCTGCCCACCGCCAGAAAAAGCCACCAGAGGGAACCCAAGATCTAGGCAGTGACACGGGCACTCCGCCCCTTTGCAGGTAACGGAGTCCGGTCCGCAACTCCGAGATGGTCATACCCCCGCAATGGGAGCATGAAAAAAGCTATTTTAGCGTGCTGAGGCGCACAGGGGAGATGATCATCTGGAACACAAACAGGGGTTAGTGCAGCCTGATGTGTGCAACCCACTTGACACAGGAAACCACCACCGCTGAAGCGCCATCCGCCAACACGAAGAGATCTCCAAGAGCGCGCTGAACTCGTTCAGTCTTCTTCTCTCAGTAGAGTAGTCAGGAGCAGAACGATGTGATTGCTCGGCTCCTCAGCGAACAGCTGAATATGCGCTGCATCTGCTGCCTACTTATACTTACGCTGTGATCAGCAGCAGCTGGATGCAATAATCACATGCCAATGTGCATTGGCTCGTTTAGTTTACACTCGAAGTAGATTGGTCCCTCTAAGCGAGATCCCAATTCGTCGGTCCTCCGACGTGACATCGAGAGTGACCGACTGAAAGGGAACACATTGATCATTTCAACTCAGGAAGGAGATTGTCAATTTTGGGTAAAGTAATCAAGATTCATGGTCAAAGAGATGCACAGCATGACCATCACATGTAAATCCATGATAGTAATCACGATCACAAACTCTTTGGATTGACTTCCCCCCCACCTAGGTGACAAGAACCAGACTGAGATTCCTTATGAGACCTTTTAACCTCTGTGGTCTTCACAGAACATGTCCTTACGTCCACAGAATGGCACAGAAACTGCTTTTCCATGTATATATGCACCTAAATGATGCTAAAAGGACTTATGAGCAACTAATCATTTCTATGCATAACTCCATATTATGTATGTAACCCACACATTTGACTATCCTGTGCTAATCACTTATTGTGTATGCATTTTGAATAACTATTTAATAGTTTAGAGGATTATATTCATGTTGGGTATGTATGAGTTTGAAAATTCATGCTTTAAACGTTTCTATCAATCAATACTTATAGTTATAGAAATCATGTCCAAATTATACTCTGCAAGAGCAGGAAAATTCGGACTATGTGACTGATAAGATGGCATGTTGATTTATGTATTGGGAGGAGAAACATCACAACACCCCGAGCTATAATTGGTCAAGACACCATTTGGGATGTGTCCAGCAGCCTGGTTCAAATACTCAGGACACCATCATATTATGCTTTTAGTTTTTTTCCTTGCCTTTTTGCCACCGCGTTTTGACGCTGCTTTTTAGCTCTCTTTGAGCGTGCTCTGGCTTACACGCCAGCTGTTCCTCCAAAACCATGAGGAGATATGCCATCTAGTCTCGTCACTCTTCTTGCTGGCTTCTACTTTATTTTATTTTCTTTCCGCTGAGAGTTTCGTGTTCTGAGTTAAGTTTTGCCGCAACAACGTGTCTCCGAGGTCACTTCGAGTCTGTGACTGCCTCAAAACTTCAACCAGCCCACAACTCCGCATCTTAAGCCAACCCCCAACCATTGGCTTCCCAAGACATCACTTCAACGACTACTGAACTTCCAGCCAATCAGCAACCTCGGGGAACCCCTTTACACAGGCAAGGCAAGTACCTCCAGATTCTAGCTGAACTGGTGCATTTAATATAAACTTTAACCTCATTGAGAAACTCAAGGCGAGGGTTAATTAAGTGATTGATGGTTGTTCAGGTGTATGCAACTGGACATATTGCTATAAAATTGGGATTTCACTTTTTCATTCTCTTAAACTCATTCTTTCCTCACTTTCTCTCTTCCTGTAACTTGTATGAATGTGTGAGTGCATGTGTTTGTGTGTTAGATTAGTTCATATTGTCTTAGATTTATCCAATAAAGTCTTATTCATATTGAAAAGATAAGTATATTGTGATTTGTGCTTACAAGTTAATGTCTCAACTGCCGATCTTGTTACTGTGCTAATTAATAGTGTTTTCACTATACTTTGGTTATACGGCTCGTTCAATGAATCGCTGGCCCGACTCAGTGATCAGACGTAAAACAGTGATTCTGTTCAAATTCATTATAAAATCTTAAACGATTCCCTTTTAACTAAATTGACCTGTTTGCCTTACATTCCTATAGAAACTGTTATTAATTTATATTCAAACTGATTGATCTTTCGCTTATTAATTGATCACAGATTAAGTACAAATGTATCTGTCACATTAATATGGCTAATACTAATACATTGTTTAGCATGTTATTTATTTAATGTGTTGGACTGGTGAATCACACTTCTGTTTTTTTATGCATTTACAACATTGACAGTTTTTATATTCACCCTATGTCATTTTCATCATTTTGCATAGTCAGGGCCTGTGTGGTTTATGGTAATGTTAAAGGACAAAGAAAATACTATTTTCAGTCGATGCTTAAAGGGTTGTAATGAAATTAACTCATTTGTAAGACGTTAATTCTATAAGGGAATTAATCATTAATTTTATTTCTAGCTCAGGTTTTGAAAGGACTCGAATCTGAAAATTCTGAGTCAACCTGATTAAAACTGAATTCAAATCTGATAGTTTACACTTTAAATCAAGGGTCGTCCAAATATATTGTTGAATCTTTGTATTTCCCTGGCCACGGTCAATACAATTATTATAAGTAAGCTATTATAGTAATTATTATAAGTAAGCTACGAGCTAGGTAGCAAGGGATCTTTGGCAAAAGTTTTCATCTTAAAATTATATGACACCAAATAATGATTCTTTATAAATGAAACTTGAATTTATTGGCTATTCTAGATTACATCAAAACTAAGCTAAAACACACATACACACAAACATACAGTTTCTTTACAATGACAGTTGACGGGGTTGCATGAAGTTTCAAAGTTCTAACTCATTTTCACGAGTGATTTAAATTCACCTGAGAGAATTCACCAAGCAGAGAATTTTAGCTTATGTTTACTGCTTAAATTAGCTCGACACCAGTTCAGCAGAGATAAGATTTTGTTCGTTTACTTGCATTTGGGTGAGTTTCCTTGTTTGGCTGCTTGAGGAACCCCGGAGCTTTCGGATTGGTCGCTGAGGTGACGTTTGGCTGACGTCCTTTTGGGAGACCCCTCGTTGGATTGGTTGGTCTCTTGATGACGCCAGAAGCTTGAGCAGTTTTGCTACAGTCTGAGTTTGCAAGACTCCGAGTTCTTTGAAGATCGCGAAGTTTCACTGAAGTGTTTGAGTTTTAGATGACCGATCGCTTTGATGGTAAGCGTGTGAGCACAAGTTGGAGTGCTCTTAACACGGCGACAGGCGAAAGCAAGCAAGCAAGCCTGTTCTGCATTGGGTTTTTGATCCGCTGCATAAGTCCGTCCCACGATGCGACCTTCCAATCGACTTGTTGCAAGGCGGAGCGTGCATACATTACCATAATGCTTCAATTTATCATGTGGGGAAATGAAGATTTGCAGGTTTTGTTAATAACTTCTATATAGTGTCGTACAACACATACTGTTCGAAATAACAGCTTTTCACTTATTTCAATATTCTGCAATTATCACAAGTTTACGTTCAACACTAAACTTCACATATTACACACATTTTAATAACCTAATTTCCTAAAAAGGGTAATAAACACTGATTAAAGTTGCACCGATTACATGAACACATCAAGCATATATATATAAGACATACAACATATTATTTGTGAATCTATTGCTCCGATACTTTCAAATGATCATCTTATGAATTGTCTGTGTAAGTTCGTGTCCCTTTTTTTGGAATG